AGTACAAAGTCCTCTGTGACTGCGTATATCTCACATGCATGAAGCTGGCTCTATGGTCAGTTTTGGATTCCTTTCATCTATGTGTTTAGGTCGAATTTCTGGTGGACTTACACAGTACACGCTGGGTGTAGGAGGTATCTAATCCTTGGTGTCTGCTGGCTGTGCTGCTGTCCGCTGCGAAAGCCTGTCTTCTGGCCCTTCATCATTGGTCCAAGCAGCTTGCCTCATTCTCAAACTTATTGTTAAAGTAACTGAGAAGACATTTTTAGCATAATTAATTTCTTAGCTATGCATTGGGGGAATTGTTATTGAAAAGACGAACAAATAAAACAAATCTGAGCAGGTTGCCTCATTGTCATCCATGAGGCCCTTCTCCCTTCTGCCACTGCTGCTCCAGGGCACAAGGGAGGAGATTTCAGTCTGTTCAGACCTAAACACCTCCCTGCTCCAAACCCTTGAATCTCTCTAAGCGTATCCCCTCCACTCAGAACTAAACTTGGGGAGAAACACAAGACCCTCCTGTTGTAAGGACCCTCAACAGCTGTGCAAGCCTTTCTCTCCACCTGCTCCTCACTCCCTAGCTTGGAGCTTCCTTGCCTGTCCTGCAGATTTGTACCTTATTCCAGTCTTTTCTATACGGGTACTTGCCCTCCAGGCCTGAGCTATCAAACTACGAAAGCTGGGGAGGGATTGCCTTCTCTGCATTCTGCTTTTGGCATCCACTGAAGTAAAGAATATCCAACGGGAAAGTTGGCCCAATAGAGGAGAAATTATGAAGTCGGGGTGAGAAAGGGAGATGAGAATGAAATACTAGGAAGAAAAACATTGGTTGAATATTTTAAATAGTTTATCTATCTACACATACTATGTCCCCCGGGTTGCCAAGAATATGTGCCTGTGTGAACCTCCAGTGGGTAGTGAACTCGCCACCTCCTTAGACACTGGATTCCAGTTTTAGAAACAACTTTTATTACCTTAAACGTCCCCTTTAGTGTTTATAAAAATTGAAGTATACACACACGCACACAAAGGCAGGGAGATTCCCAAGCCCTCCTCCTACCTACCATTCCCTCCCCTTCCAGAAGCAGAGAACACGTTTTGTCTTGATGTAATTTCCATGTACAGGTACTAGGGTAATGTGGGATAATATGGAACAAATCTCCTCATTTCTACCAAATGGTGGGAAGGACCCCCAAAATTAGTCACTTATCCAGTTATCAGAGCCACCCTTACCTCGCCTCTCCTTCTCTAAACCGCTCTCCTCACCCCAAACAAACACAGATTTAGGTTTCTTTCTTTCTTCTTTGTCTCTCTCTGTCTCTGTTTCTTTCTCTCCCCATCTTTACTTTCTCTTTTTAGCATAAAATTTACCAACCCTTCAACACTTAAATAATAATTTAGTGTGTTTTGTAAATACAATATTATATATAGTGTATATATACTAATATATTATTATAAAACAAACTAATTTTGGTTATTAATATAACAGTCTACCACTATAAGAACAGCAATAACAAAAACTAATGCTTACGTAGCGGTTAGTTATCTATACCCGTTATTCTAAAGACTTAATGTTGATTAAACCATTTTCATGAAACAATTCATGGTATGTATTTTGAGGGCTTTCTGCAATCTCGTGGGAGAGCTATACTGTCATTTGACAGGAAGGACAGTCACATCCATGGAGCCTCTGTCCTCAGGTTCTTCAGGAGCCTTTGTGTCTTTGGTAGTTATAGATAGCTTTCCTTCTTACCAATAAAGAAAAGCAAGGTCACACCATCTCCTGGTGTTCTTTCCAACATTAATATTCATAATGGAAATTTTGCTTTGTGTGTAGTCTTTTTTACAACAACTTATTTAATGCATAGCTAAGAAATTAATTGTCCTAAAAGTGTCTCTTCAGTTTAACATTCAGTTTCCTAAATTGGGGGCTGGGGTGGTGGCATGGGAAAACGAACACGGGCAGCAAATATCAGCGAGACACATGTGGGAAGAAACTAAAAATGGAGCTGTGCCAGGCTGGCACCCCTCTGAAAATGGCGCCAGGAGACAGGAACCCCTGGAGCAGGAAAGCTCTCCCGGCCCCAGGATTGCCCCCCTGGCAGAGCAACTTAATGGAGGCTGTGTTAATGCAGCAAGGGAGGAGGCGAAGCTGCACTCTGCGCTCAGCTGCAGGCGCACGGCAGGCTTCCCTTCACGAGGTAAACATGGAAATGAATTGCTCCCTACCACGATGAAGTTACTGCTTGTTGGTGGAGACGTCTGTTGGCGGAAGAGCAGAGTTAAAGGTCTCCCTTAGGGGTGGCAGAGGAAATCTAGATATGTCCTCATAATGCACCGTGGACAGGATTTGTGAGAAATGCCCAGTTTTTAGAAGTTGCTACAAATACACAATAGTTCCTCCTGAAGAAACTGATACTTACAGATCTGTTAGGGATCAGATGATGGAGTGTTTCCTCCATTCATTGATTTTAAAATATTCACTGAGACCCTAACAATA